GGCTATGGCTTTTGATGTGGTTTTGCATGATGGGTCCCCTAACGTTGGTGGAGCCTGGGCTCAGGAGGCAATGTCCCAAAATGCTTTGGTTATTGATTCTGTTAAGCTAGCTACCCAGTTCTTGGCTCCTAAAGGCACTTTTGTAACCAAGGTTTTTAGGTCCCAAGACTACAGTTCTGTTCTCTATTGTCTCAAGCAGGTGATTTTTTTCTTCACTTTTTAACAATATTTTGTGATAATATCTGTGTAAAGTTTTGTTTTTGTTTGACATGTGGATTTGGTTTGGTTTGCAGTTATTTGAGAAGGTTGAGGTGGATAAACCAGCGGCTAGTCGTTCAGCATCAGCTGAGATTTATGTTTTAGGCCTGAGGTATAAAGCCCCTGCAAACATTGATCCACGTCTTCTTGATGTCAAACATCTGTTTCAAGGATCAATCGAACCTCAAAAGAAGGTTTTTATTTTATTTTAAGTTTCAAAATCTCTTAAAAGACTACGTTTTCCTTTGATTGTGTCTCTGCTAATTATGTTCTTTCTGCCAAATGCTTGATGTAGGTGATTGATGTACTTAGGGCAACAAAACAAAAGAGACACCGTGATGGGTAAGGTTTCCCTTTAACACACAGTTATGTGAACTGAATAAAATGAATTTTCAGTACTAAGCCAGATGACGAATTTACTGCTTGTTCAGAATGATTGACCATGTTAATAGTATGTACAAGGAAATTAGAAATGTTTTGATAAATATTTTTAAGTGTGTCAAGACAAATTTCACATTGTTATTGGTGCCTGTGGATATTATTTCTATGGGGATCTATGTTGTGCTTTGTTGCTAACAACAGTCCAATTACAGTTACGAAGATGGGGAGACAATCTCGAAGAAGGTGTCTACAGCTGCTGACTTCATTTGGTCTGACACTCCTCTTGAAATCCTTGGTTCTGTTACTTCCATAACCTTTGAGGATCCAGCTTCATTGCCTATTAAGTGTCACAGTTCTACCTCAGAAGAGGTGATTAGGTTTTACAATTGCTATTGTTTACCGTGCCTCCAATCCTTCTCATCTAATGACCTACTTAGGTGCTGTCTTGACAGGTCAAAGCTCTTTGTGATGATTTGCGTGTTTTGGGAAAGCAAGATTTCAAGTACCTTTTGAAGTAAGAAACATATTTTCTTTCAAATTCTCCTTTTGAAATGTATTCTAAACGTTTTTTATAATATGAAAATCTGTGAAAGTCAAACTTTAATCAGTGCACTTGGTCATAACCTTTTAAGTGGAAGCTTGATTTGAATTACAATCATTCATGAGGTGAAAAGAAAAATGTTGATTTGTGTGCATAGATATGACATGTATTACACGGCACCATTCCTTTGATTTAGTATTTTAATGTTTCTTTCTCATATAGGTGGCGGATGCAATTGAGAAAAGCTTTGTCTCCTTCAGAAAAAGCTACTTCTTCTACCACCGCCACAGATGTTGATAAGGGGGATGAGGAGAATGAAGATGATAAATTACTCAATGAAATGGAAGAGCTGACACATGCTATGGAAACATAAGAAGAAAAGAGCAAAGAAGCTACTTGCAAAAAGAAGAGCAAAGGTTTATTGCCTTCGTTAAAAAATCTCTGGGCCATATATTTGTGTCTTAGTGCATATTACCACATAACAGAAATCACGAAATGGAACAAATTTCTGATTATTCCAATGTTTTTCTATGTAAATGATAGTAATTAGATGATCCTTGCTTTTCTTTTCCCTTTCTTTTCTTTTTGGAAGAATTAAGCTTTCATCTTTTAGGTTTGGTATTGATGTTTCAGATGCTTATGGTTTTCTGTCTTAGTCCTTTCTGTTGGAAATTTCATGTTTTCTTTTCTTACTTGTAAATTGTAGGATGTTGCAATGCACACTCATTTAGTTGCTGATTTCTTGCCTCACTGTTTTGCAGGACAGATCACGGAAGGCAACAGGAATGCAATAGATGCCCTGGAAGATGGTTATATTGATCATGAGTTGTTTTCTCTTTCTTCCATCAAGGTTTGTTTCTTATCACAATGACTTCAAATTGGATAACTCCAATATTTAGTCCATAACTAGTAAAATAAACAATATATTTATGCAAGTCTAAAAGGACAACTAAAACAAATGCGGACTTAAGACTGCAGTTATGTCATTTGAACCGGCGACATAGTTTGACATTTAAACTGTCCAAGACCCTTTATTATGGGTTAAAGCTTGGCATATCTTATGTTTAACCTTATTGGCTATTAATATGTTGTTTCTGAATTGCAGGCAGCTTTTGATCTTAAAATCTTTTCCAGTTATGTGTTGGCATCTTTCTGTTTGTTAACTGAAATGGTGCTTGGTCATGCTTTACTATACAAGACAATTTGTCATGATAAAATAAAACCTTTCTTCTAGGGTCCAGAAAGACGGTAGATTTTTTAAATGAAGCCACCACTACCCTCCATATTTTCGTCTTAAATTGTTGCTTGTAGTTGTCATTCTTTGGTATTTCTGAAAAGCTACTTAGATTTTCTTTTAAGCTTTTTCCTTTGGCTAAAGTTCTATTGATGCTAGTCTGTTACTGCCTTTAGGGTAAGAAAGATCTTGTGGCAGTTGATTCAACTGAGTATGATGATGGGAATAGTGACTTAAGGGGTAGCGAAGATGAAGAAAACCAAGAGAAAACTGAAGATGAATCATCCAGTGACATTGATTCTGACAAAGAACGCAGAAGGTTGGTTGCCTTGCTTCTTAGTTATGACTGGGACTTATTTGAGCAATATATAATTTCTAACATTCTCTGAATGTAAATTAATCTTGTAATTTTGATGCTAGATATGATGAACAAATTGAAGAGATTCTTGATCACGCTTATGAACGGTATGTGGCCAAGAAGGATGGAAGTACAAAGCAGAGGAAGCGTGCAAAACAGGCCTATTCTGACCAATTGGAGGTATGAATCTCGTATATTGTGTGTAATTGAGAACTCAACATGTTGATCTTTCCCACAACTTTAACAATGTGCAATCTTTTCCTTATTTGCTTGAAAATGGAAGTTGTGTTTCACATTTTAAAATAATTTTATATCCCCATTTTTGTTTAGTTTCTGATTTGCAATTCACACCCTCGCCTTTTTCGCTTTTGATTTTTTAATCCCCTTCCCCCTTCCCTCTCTGCAAATCTGCATTCCTAGGTTTCTCCATCAAGTACAATCTTTTCTTCCCCTATGCTTCCTCACTTCATATTCTATTTATAGGAATTCTGTTTTCCCAGTGCTATTATCATTCCTTCTTATTTATGCTGTTAATACAGAATGTTGAATGGTTGATTATTAAAAGCTGGCAAAATTATCACTTACCAGATTGAATTTCCCTTCTTGGCTATGCAGGTTGGTGATGGTGAAGATGAAGATGTCATTCTTTCTGATCATGATTCAGACAAGGATGAGGCTGATCCTGAAGCAAATCCTCTCATGGTACCACTGGATGATGGGGAAGGACCGACTCAGGAGGAGATTACAAACAGGTGGTTTGGCCAGGATATTTTTGCTGAAGCTGTAGAGCAGGGAGATTTAGATAAGTATGACAGTAATGATGAAATGGACGTTGATAACCAAGAGGAAAGGCCAGCTGTTCGTGAGAAGGCCAAAGTAAATATAAGGCAGGATGAAAGGCCTTCTATCCCTGACAAGGCCAAGGAAAAGAAAATAAACAATGCTGCCAGCCCCAATCGCACTCAACTCCCACCTTCTAAGACACAGGATGATTTTGAGATTGTCCCTGCTCCAGCTACAGATTCAAGTGATGACTCATCTTCAGATGACTCAGAAGATGAAGATGTTGATACAAAAGCTGAGATATTAGCTTATGCGAAGAAGATGCTCAGGAAAAAGCAAAGGGAGCAAATTCTTGATGATGCCTATAATAAATATATGTTTGATGATGAAGGTTTACCTAAGTGGTTCTTAGAGGAGGAGAGGAGACACTGCCAACCGATTAAGCCTGTTACAAAAGAAGAAATTGCTGCAATGCGAGCACAATTCAAAGAGATCAATGCTCGACCTGCTAAGAAAGTTGCAGAGGCAAAGGCTCGAAAGAAGCGGGTAGCAATGAAAAAGCTTGAGAAGGTGCGCCAGAAAGCAAACAGTATATCAGACCAAACTGACATCTCCGATAGGTCAAAGAGGAAGCAAATTGAGCAACTATACAAGAAGGCTATGCCCAAAAAGCCCCAAAAAGAATATGTGGTTGCGAAGAAGGGCGTTCAAGTCAAGCCTGGCAAGGGGAAAGTCCTTGTTGACAGGCGGATGAAAAAGGATGCTAGGGCACGAGGAATGGGTAAACCTGGGAAAGGTGGTTCAAAGAAGGTAAAAAATGGAAAAGTTAGGAAAGGTAGAGGATCTGTCAAGGCTTCAGGGAGGAAGGAAAGCAAAGGGAAAAAAGGTGGGCGTGCATGACTGAACAACTTAAGTTTTGAAAGATACAATTTTAGATTAAAATTGAAGTTAAACAATAAATACATTTTTTCAGTTATTGTTTCAATTTTCTTATCCATGTTGTTCGGCTGATAGATAAAATCAAGTATGATGTTTTGAGTATTGATTCAAGGTGTAACGAATGAGCTGTAGAGTTTTTGCACTCCTAAAATTTTCCTTCCATCCTTTGATTACTGTCTCTGAATAGATCTTTTATATACAATTTTATCAACAACGGGAAGTACCTCCTGGCCTGTTCAATATCTGGCTTAAAATTCAGATTGCTGGAATCTATTGGCAATCTATTTTTATGCACTCTGTTCGTCTTATTGCCATTTCCGCTCTTAGGTCTCATTTTTTTTATTTCGCATTTCCAGTTAAATTTCTCTATAATTTAATAAACCATTTTTTCTTCGTCTATGCCCGCATATTGTGCCTCTTCTTCTGCTTGCTTGTTCGTCAAGCTTAAACGTTCTTTCTTGTACTGTTGCTTAAGTTTTGCCTCTCAGTAGGGGAAAAAAAAACAGTTGCAAAACAAACGCAATTCGATAGAACGAGGAAAGGAAAAAACAAAGGCAGTTGATAGTTCATTCACAGGTAGACATTTATTTACCTACGTTATATTCATAGCAAACTGCAAGTCCATCTATCCCTAACAGGCATATCTTGATCTTGGCTACCAACTTACAAAGGCTGCCCTGCCCACAAGCAGAAGAAAAAACGACCTAGTGAATCCCTGACGGATTCTATACTGCCAGCATATACTTACTCGTACTGATGCACGTTTATGCAGGAGGATCAGACATATTGATCAAGATACTCTTCAACAGTAGTATACTTGACATCCGGGTACAGCTCTGAAGCCTCAACTCCAAATGATGATTCAATTTCAAAGTTGGTGTGATCTCCTTTGACGAAAACAGAGTGTGCAATTGCCAATACAACATTCAGTGGAATGGCAGCTTCTGCAAGAGAGTGAAATTATCCAATGTTTAATCAGCCATTTCTGAAATCTCATCAAAACCCATTCTAGCAAATTTCACAAAACAGATTTCTCACTAACCTTGAATGTTCTTCAGCAGTTGTTCTTCTGGAACATAGCTCCTCTCAAGGGTTTTGCCAATCTTGCTTTCCCACAAAGTCACAAGATCATTAAATGAATACGTGTTGAGAGGGGGTCTAATGTAGAGGATTCTGTTCAGGGTTCTGGGATCATCCACTGCTTTGATGGTATATGTGCCTATATCATCTTCCTTGTTGAAAACAGCTGCAAATCAAAACATGAGGTCGTGAAGTATGGGTTTTAATCACAATTTTTTGCCATAATATTTCCCTGATTTGTTAGCCTGATCTCTCAGCTAAGTTCTAATCTCCAATAAAATTAAAATTAAAGAAAAAAATTTGACCTTTGGGATTTCCATCCCCTAAAATGACGATTTTATCTCTTGGGGGTGCGGTGGCTGCAGGTTGTGCCAAAGTGGGAAGGAAATATCCAGCGAAAAAATTCGAAGACACATAGTTGTAGGGTATTCCTTCAGCTTCAACAGCTCGTCGGATTTTAGCCTTCGTGGCAAAGGCTGTCTTTGCCGGTTCCACCGCATGCACGCGATCCACGTCATTCCCAAATTCCGAAGGCAAAAATCTCTTCAAAAAAGGAAAACCAAAGAAACATTAATATTTTATAATAGATAGGGTTAATGAAGTAGAGAACTTTTACCTTAACATTGCCAGCTTCTTTAATGGCAGCGATGATCTTGTCTTGATCAACTATCTGGCCGTGACCAACGGTTGATATCACCACGTCCACTTGCTTTATCGCCTTTACCAAGCTTTCATGATCGTACAAATCTCCCTACATGTTAAAAAAAAAAAAAAACCATTTCATCTTAACGAAATGACATGAATGATTTGCGAGAAAAAAAGAAACGAACAGTTACATACGTGAAGAAAATTGACTCCCAAAGTTTTGAACTTGTCGATGATGTTGGATTTCGCAGGGTTCGAGAGAGTGGATTCTCTAACCAGAACAAACGTTGGGTGACCGGCTTTTGCACTCGCTTCCACTACAAACTTACCAATGTACCCGGTGCCACCGATCACCAGAATCTTGCTTTTCTCCGCCATCGGAAAGGTATATACCGGCGAATACGAATCTCCGATCACCAAGGGAGAAACAGAGAAATGGGGAAAAGACGGTACAGTGTAAGCTTATCAGCATGAATGACGTGTGTGTACTTATAGAAGAGATGGGTTGATAAGGCTGGATGCATTATAAGTGCGCAATTACTAAAATGCCTTAATGATTTTTCTGCGTTTTTGATTTGGTCCCCAAATGCGTCTTAATGATTTTACTCCTTTTTGCGTCTAGATTCATCTTGCTTTAGGTTTGATGGGCCTTAATCGTCAAACAAATGCGCAATCATTCAATTGCTTTAATATTTTGCTCCTTATTGATTTAGTCCCCAAATGCTTATAGATTCATCTTGATTTAGATCTGATGAGCCTTAAATTTGCATTTGCATTTGTGTAGAAGAGACTAAGAGATTTGGATCAATAATGGTTTAGTCTTATATGTATTTTATTTTTTAATTTTAATTTATTTTTATTCATCAAATTCTTATTTATTAACTCATTTATAAAAAATATTACGCATTTAAATTTTTTTAAACTCAAAATTTTAGAAAATTTAATCGATATATATATCATCTAAACAAATACTCGACTTATTGATATTTCAATTTAGAGTTTATTTTTAGTATTATAATATGTCACATTCGTTTCATTTCTTACTTATAGATTGATGTCATCATTGGTACTATAATTAATGATATTATGCATTTTTATCGAATAGAATTAAAGAATTATTTTCAGCTAAACAATAAAAGAATTTATATTTTATACACATGTCACATAATTTCCTTTTCCTCATTATCAATAATAGATTAAACAATTAAATTTTGTTTGAAACCATTTATCTCCATTTCTACTCTTCTTTGCTATGAATCATTCATCCAAAGTTTGAACAAAGTCAGGATTTTCTCACGGTTGGGTTAGGTTTGCATGTGTTTGTTGTCTACCTATAACTTGAAATTGGATTGTTAGGTAATACTGATTGTATAAATGACTAAGGACAGTGACTATGGTTCAAGGAATTAAGATAAAAACAAAACCAGTTTTTCAAGAAAGCGAAAGAGTGATTAATGGATACATCATCTGAGTTAACGGCAAAATTTTGATCCCTTTAAGGATTGAATGTGATTCAACCATTCATTAGAGAGTAGGGACTTGTTTTTTACAGGTTATTGTGTAAGGATTAAATCTATCATTTGAAATAAGTATAGAGATGAATTGCACAATTTAAACCTAAAAAAAATTGCAAGAAATTTCCTTGACATTGCCTTTATTCTTTTCCAGAAATCAAAAGCTACAACTCTTTTTAAAGTCCTTTCACCATAAAAAAAAAAAAAAGAGAAGTTGGTTTGTAAGTAATAATTCTCATAGTAAGGTGTCTAAATAATCACTGACTGTAGTGAATTTGAAGTGTGGATAGAGTTGTGTCCCATCAACTCCAGAAGACTTGATATCAAAGTATGTATGATCCCCCTTTACGAAGGCAGAATATATGAAAATCATCTCCATGTTGTCTGGATATGGAGTCTCTGCAATTTCACAAGCTACAGTAAATTTTAAAACAAACAAACAGAAAAATGAAACAAGAATAAAACTACCAACAACCGAGAAAATGGCTTGAAAAAGCACCCAATCCCATGCCTCTTGATCTGAAATAATCTAGGAAAAAACAAGTAAAAATATAACATACGAGCAAGTGAATGCATAACGTGCATTACCATCCAAGAATCCCACCATTGGTAGTCTTTCTTCAACCTCTAATCTAGAATCATAATCTAACCAAATGTGAAATAGAGCATAATTGTGTGCAAGTCAACAGCAATGGTACGCACCATTCTTTTGTGAGGCTCTCAGAGATAGGCTAGTGATACACCAAAGATATTCAATATAAGGTGATTTCTCCAACATCCCATTAGTGATACATATTATTCAGAGCTACGTTCCTAATCAATTTAATCATGTAATTCTCTTGCTTTGCTATAACAAGCAACAGATGCTAAATATTTTCAATACTTTTTTAAATGCCTCACTTTTTTCAACTCGCTAATAAGTATATTTATTATAAACTTGCTACAATATGATACATTATACATACCTTTGATTTTCTTAAGAAGCTCCTCTTCTGGTACATAAATCTTCTCAAGTTTCTTATCAATTTTATTCTCCCAAATTGCTACCAGCTCATTCATGGAGTACACATTTCCTGGGGGTCTCAGATACAAAGTCTTATTAAGTGTTCGAGGATCGTCAATGGCACTGATGGTGCAAGCAGCAACATCAACATCCTTCATGAAGACAGCTGCAAGAAAACAAGAGTAAAAGCACACTGCTTTATAGATCTCCTAATCTCCATAGGAAATATAAACTTATTAACCCTAGCAGGCCATCAGCAAACCTTTAGTATTTCCATCTCCAAAAATAGTGACCTTGTCCCTGGGGGGAGTCTTTAGGCCAGGTTGAGCTAGCCATGGAAGTAAATAACTCATAAAAAAGTTGCAGCAAATGTAAGTATAAGGAATGCCTGCAGCTTCTATAAGACGCCTAATCTCAGCTTTTCGAGAGTAGAATTGATGATCCAGGACAGATATCTGAACTTTGTCAGGATCTACACCGAATTCGGATGGAATGAACTTCTGTTACCATTGCAATTATTGAGTTCAAATAAGAGCAATAAGTCTGTTATCCAAAAAGATTAACTAAAGGATTGGTATTTTGGCATTACAAAACCTCTCCAAAATAATAAAAAACTGGGTAGTAAAGAAATAAAAATCCCTTGCTTGGTTCAATTTTTTCTATCTTTAACTAACATCTCTTAACAGCAAATGTAGATTCATTTTCAACAGGAAAAGGAAAAAAAAAAAACCCTCAAAAGTTAAAGCCAAGATGAATAAAGGGCTACTAGACCTTAATGCACCCAGATTCTTTAATAACCTTGATGAGTAGTTTCTGATCAAGAACCTGTTTTGAAGGGATTGAACAGATGATAACATCCACTTGCTTCACTGCTTCCACCAGACTCTTCTCATCTTCAAGTGAACCCTATAATCCAATCCAATTTTTTTAAAAAAAAAAAATAATCCTTTGGGTGTCAATAAATCATAGAGAAGTGTGTGTGTGTGTATATATATATATATATATATATATATATAAACTGCTAAGGAGTGACCTTGAGGGGAATGGCACCAACAGTGGAGAGAAAGTGGAGTTTTTGAGCTCTTTCGGGGTCAGTAGGAGAGGAGTCTCTGATGAGAATAAAAGTGGGGTGACAATATTCAAGGCTGAATTTGGCTAAATGGTAACCTAATCTCCCCATTGCTCCTATTATCAGGACTCTGCTCTCCACCTCCTCCATCTTTCCTTCCTCTAGTTCTCTCTCTTCCCTGGACAGTGTGGAAAGTCGGGGAACTTTTGCAATTGAAATTGAACAATGAACCAAACGACAACGTTTTGCCTTGGAGAATTTGCGGCTATTGGGCTTTAAAATTAGAGTCTTTTAAATTTAAATTTTGAAACAGGATAGAACAGTAACGGAAAGTCAAAAAAATCTCAATATTCATGACTCTTCAAAACTGAAAATTTTTGCTTTTAAACTAAAACACGACAACCTTTATAATTGGTTGCAGAGGCTTTCTTGTTTATACAAATCAATTCAAACACTTAATAATTTTCTACTTTGAAGTTTTTGTGACGTTGGGTTCTTAATCCTTAAGCTGCTATTTCAAGGAGAAAGATTTAGGTTCATTTTTGTTCAGACTTTTTGCAGTTTGTAATTGAATATGTAGTGATGTTTTGCTTTGTTAGATAATTATATCAGTGACCATTGATAAACCTATTCGAATATGTTCTTTTTAATTTATCAAACCTGTTCTATGGCTTAAAATATAATTCTTTTTGTTTTTGTAGGTGGTGGGATATATTGGATTTTTCAACCATGAATGATCTCATGACCAAGTCTTTCCTTAGTTATGTAGAACTGAAGAAACAGGCCCTGAAAGACATTGAAGAGGAGGCTGACCTGGAAATGGGCCAATTTGATCCTACATATGAGCAAAACCTCTCCAAATTCTTTGAAGATGTGACATTGATCGAGAATGATATGGAAGAGATTACCAATCTTCTACTTGATCTTCAAGACTTGAAACAAGAGGCAAAGACCACTGATAGTGCAAAAGTTGTCAGGGGCATTAGAGACAGAATAAACTCAGATATGGTTACTGTTCTTCAAAAAGCAAGGAACATCAAATCGAGATTGGAATCACTTGATCACTCCAACATAGAAAATCGTAACGTCTCAATGGAGTTCAAAGAAGGGAGTCATGTTGATCGAACAAGGGTGTCGGTGACCAATGGCTTGAGAGTCAAATTGAGAGAAATGATGATTGATTTTCAGTCTTTGAGGGAGCACATTGTGGAAGAACACAAACAAGAAGGACAAAAAAAGAGCTATTCCAATGTGACAGGAGAAGAACCAAGTGAAGAAATGATAGAGAAAGTGTTTGAAGGGAAATCAGAAATGGTGTTGGAGAATTCAGAAAGGCAAGAGGCACTGAAGGAAATACAGAGGAGTTTGACAGAGCTGCACCATCTTTTCCTTGACATGGCTGTGCTGGTGGAGACACAAGGGGATAACATCAACGATATTGAATACAATGTGGATCAAGCTGGTATTCAGATTAATGGAGGAACTAATGGGTTGTTTTATGCAAAGCAAATGAACAAGACAAGGACTTGGGCTTGTTGGATAGCGGCTTTAGTGTTGGTTCTGGTGTTGGCATGGATCATCTGCTTAGCTGTTTGAAAGTTCATGCTTTCCTTTGAAAAATTGAGGTTCTTAATAAAATATGAGAATTTTCTTTTCAGTTAAAATCTTTGAAAATTTGTATGAATGAGATCATTCTTTCTAGTAATTTAGCAATTATTTTTTGGTTTTAAATTTGTATGTCATCATAAATTTTATCAAATTACTTATTAATTTATAAAAAAATATCTCACGGGTTAATAAAATGATATATATTTTTTAGAATATATTATAAATAATTAATAATTTGCATATTAATAATTTTTTTAATCTTTTTTTTATTATTTTTTATTTTTAGAATATAAAGATTTGATTGTCAGCAAGTATAATCTGATTCTATAAACTAAATATGCATATTAAGAATTTATTTTTTTTTATCTTTTTATTTTGGAAGATGAAATATTTATATTTAATATGTAATTATTAATGAGACTTTAATTTAATAGCAAAAAGGAGGTTTTTAAAATCTTAAGATATTAAATATGTTTTAGTTTGTTAATTAATTATTCAATAATTTATTATATATGAATATAATGGTTGATTATAATTATAATTTTTTTTGTACTTGTAATTTTAAATGATGTATAAATATTATGTATTATTAGTGAATTACGCAATTACATTTTTAAAAAAGTTCCATTTAAAAAAAATTTTAAGATTAAATTTTTTTTATTTTTTAAAATTTTAAACTTAATTTTTGTATAAGATATCATTATTTTTTATTTGTTTAAAGGAAGGTAAACGCTTGTACAAAGAAAAATGGCGATGATAAGATTAGAATTTACGCTCACATGTCTTTTTTAAAGCTTCTTAACCATTAAATCAAAAGGTGAAAGATTACGAGATATCATTATATTGTTTATAATTTATATTATTTATAATGTATTAAATATAAATTTATAATTAAAATATGAAATGATATTTTTTTTAAGAATGTGATACACATTTATGAAATAATTTTTTTCTACTGTTTATTGTTATATTTCAAGTACGAACAAGATTTGAAATATTTTGTGATATACTTAATCTCTTCATGCAAAACAATTATTTTTTTGGGATAAGTAGTATTTTTAGATAATTAAAATTATAGAATTTGAATTAAATTATTAAAATTAAAAATTTATCTAACATAAAATTAAATAAAATTTGTACGCAATAAAATTTGAATTTAAAATTTTAAAATTTCTCGCTTACCGGCAAGAAAAATCTCATTAACATTATAATTATTACCAAAAAACAGTAAAATACTGATACAAAGTGACAGTACTTACAGTTTCCAGTTTAAACATTTTCCTATTCAGCTTCCATGGATCACAGAATCCTTCATTTACATTATCATAAACTTTTATTATTTTTGACACTTTAATAATTATTATGTCTGGTGTCTGGTAGACATAATAATTTGAGATCACATCATCACTTTTTTTTTTTTTGAAACTTTTCGATGTTTAATATTTACTTTAAATTTTAAATAATTCAAAATTAAATTGATTCTATCCCTAAAAAAGATATTTTTAAAATTTTTTTTATGCACAAAAATTGAAATTAAAAGTTTATTTAAAAAAATCAAATTTCTTATCATTAGATCAAATATATTCTCATTTTTATAGTTTTTTTTGATAAAAAAAATTTTAAAGACAAATAGGCTGCTCAACTCTTAAATTAAAATAAAATATATTATATTTGATAATTTAATATAAGTAATTGTAAATTATATATTAGAGATGGTTATAATTTGAGATCACATTATTATTATTTTTTGAAATTTTTTAGTGTTTGATATTTATCTTAGATTCTAATTAATTCAAAATTGAATTAAATCGAACCTTATAAAAAATATAAATTTTTTAATTTTTTTTCATCCATAAAATTTAAAATTAAAATTTTATTTAAAAAATTTAAACTTTTTATTATTCAAATCTAATATATTTTTATTTTTATAACTTTTTTTTGTAAAAAAATTAAAAATAGATAAATTGTTAAATCTTTAAAGTCAAAATAAAATATAACATATTTTGATAATTTAAAATAAATAATTATAAATTATATATTTGAGATGATTAATAAAAAATCATCCATAAAATTTAAATTTAAAATTTTTTTATAAAGTAAGATGAATTTTAATTAATTAAATATATTATATGTTTTGCCATCCTTATAATAAGAAAGCACAAGCGATAAGAAAGCTGACATTATTGGACGGAAGCTTGAAGGACAGAAATTAAGCGGGAGAAATAAACGTGTCTGTACATGGCAGAAGATATCATTTTTTTTGTGGTGAAAATCAATGTGGTACTTTTTCAACAACTTTTAATTGAATTTAATGCGTTGGTCGGCAGGCAAAGTCATTCGGTACTGTTTTTCTTTTTTTTTTTTTTTCTTTATGATATAAAATGTTTCAAGCCCCACCTGTTGCAGCTGGAGTTGCTTGTCCTCTTCCACATAATGGCCAGTTTGTTGTCCTGAAATGTATATACGAGGCAGAAAAAGACGATATGAATACTGATTGGTTTAATTGATAAAAAATTATTTTTTATATAAAAATTTTGGTTTCAATTTAATTAATAATTATTTATTAAAATTATATTGAATGTATAATTTTTAATCAATTATTTTTAATTATTAAATATGATATATTTTATTTTAATATAAAAATTAAATAATTTATTTATTATAATTTTTTAAAAAAATAATTAAAAAAAGAGGGAAGATATTCAAAGGAATTCATGGCCAGTAATATATGCATAAGGCGTAGAATCAATATATATGTGCTTCAATCTTAATTTTTATACTCTAACTGAGTACTTAACGATCAAGGTATAATAATAAAAAAATAAATGAATAAAACACGTTCACTCTCAAAGAAAATGAACTCGTTTCTTACTTATTGAATCAAAGTTGAGGCCGAATTTTGATTTGGTTTAGCTTTTGAAATTAAAAGTATAATTGATCGAATTTAAATTAATATAATATTAAATTTAAATTTAAATTTAATTATAAATTTAAAATTTAAATTAGATTTAAAATTGATTAAAATTTATTTTTTTAATTTAAATTTGATTCAATATAAAAATCGAATTACTCGAATTTTTTTAATTAGATCTGATTAACATATAAAAATAAATTTAATTTTTATATTTGATAAAAATTTAATTATTTATATTTAAATTTAAATTTAAATTTAAATTATTTTATTAATTAAAATATATTAAAATATAAAAATTAAATTAAATTTATGAATAATTTAAGTTAGATATAAAAATATTTGAATTTAATTTTATTAATAAATTAAATTATTTAAATTTAAATTTTACGTAATAATAATTGAATTAAATTTAAAATTTTATTTAAAATAAATTAGAATAATTTGCTAATAATAATGTATCTTGACCATTAGCCGCCAGTGAAGCAGCAGTTAATGCTAGGACCCTCGAACTCGTGCTTAGACGTGATGTATTTATTTTCTTTTTTGAGTAGTCAAAGTTTGATAGAATATGCTAAAAGAATCTTATGGTATCTTTTAATAAATTTAAAAAAGACAAAACTTATGTTGGGTTTGCACATTTTTTATTTTTTTTTATTAAAGTGGTTAATTAATATTTGCATTTGTCCTTTCTCTTATAATAGCACACATTCATGACAATGTAGTCAAAATTTTTGTAACTTTTACTAATATAATCAGTAAGAATTCACTAAGCAAGTGGTTGTTGAAGCAAGTACCTAGGAATCTTTAATTAATTAATTAATTATTTTTTAAATAAAGAAATCTTAATTTTTGTTTTGTGCGTTGAGTAACGAAACAATAATTATATTTAGGATGTTAATTTTATTTATATTTAATGAAAATTTTAAATTTTATTTGAATGAAAATAAAAATGAGCATTGTATTGAAGATATAGAGATGAAAATAGGTATGATTTTAAATTTTTATTAAATATAAAAATAAAAATGGTAATATAATGCTCATCTTGTATTTGTATTTTTATATATTTAACAAATAAATTTTTTATTAAATAATTTTAAATTAATTAGAAATTATATTTTTATTAAAAATAAATTAATATATATAAATTACTTAAATATATAAAATAAAAATAAAAAACCTAAAAGAACTATTTTTTATTTTGAATTTTTTTAAAAAATTATGAGTAAAAAAATTATCTATCTATTAAATATTTGAAAAAATAAAAATAAATTTAAATTTAAAATATTCATTAAATATAAATATGAAATAGATATAATACAAAAATCTGAAATAAAAAATACTCTTCCTTATCGTACGTTACCAATTTACATCTTAATTGCGTTAAAGTTAGACGTGTTCCTAGCTGCTCGCTTTCATCTCCTTTCTCCGTGCAGTTTCCGTTGTCAATATTCACTGCAAATTTTATCATGGGCACATGCACTCGGGACAAGCACGGTTAATTTTTGCTGACAGGAGAAGAGGAGGAAAAAGGAGAAGAAAATGGCGAATATAGTAATAGTTCTTTTTTTTAACAACATGTGATAAGTGAAATCTGAACTGAATCAGAAGTCCGTAGACTTGAAAGTAATTTATTAATTATTTAAGGGGAAGTTTTCCTTGATTCTTGTGAATAAAGAGGACGGACAGTGAAAGAGCATCAAAAGGCAAAACTTCTTGTCTCAATCATTCCACTCCGAGCAATCGTTGCTCGATTTTTATTCGAGGTAGTTGCCATTAATTTGCACATTCATTTACTTACAATCTTGCTTCTTGTGTTTACATCCTTTCAAAAGCAAGGACTCTGATGGTGCAACTGATCAATCAGAGAAGGTTTATGTTATAAAGCAAAAAAGGGATTGGGTGTATATATTACATATGCTTGATTCAGTTGACGGTTCTCTTCTTGGATCAGTTCGTCATCAGTTTCATTGTTTTCAGGGGAAAGCGTCGGGAGCAGAGTCTGCCGGAATCTTGGATCATTTTGAGGCTTTCGATTAACCAAGCCTTTTAGCAGGGGTCCTGAATTTCCGGCCATGGAGCAAAAGAAATGGATCCTTACAGTTGTGTTAGCCTTCGTCGTGGCAATGTTGCCTTTGACTTTTCGAATCCTGGAATCGCATCAACTTCAGCTTTTATATATGGGGTACTTAATTTATGCAAGTTGTTTTTTTTTTTTTCTTTGTTGCTTAATACATAGAAAGCCAATATTACAGTTGCTATATCAACATACTATGACATTTGAATCCAATATATCTTTCATTTTCTCTTTTTCTTTTTAGATGCTGTTGACCTGTTATCATTATCCAGGGAACTAACAAACATGATACTTGGCAAGCTGGGAGGCTGGGGTTCCAGTAGACATGACCTTAGCATAGACAAGGCAGCAAAGAGTAAAGCTATCGGGCCAAACTTAACAGCGTGCCATCCATCTTATGGTCGTCCAGATCTTCTTGTTTACTGTTGCCCTCCTGGATTTGAATCTCCATTGCCCTTTGTCGATTTCCAGTTTCCTAATCCTCAATCGCATGTACGCGTGCGCAGGCCAGCCCACCTTCTGGACCAGAACGACATCTCCAAATATAATAAGGCCTTGTCGATCATGAAGTCCCTGCCATACGACGACCCTCGAAGTTTTGCACGTCAAGCCAACTTGCACTGTCTCTTTTGCACTGGAGCCTACGAGCAACAAAACTCCGATACTCCTCTCAGTATTCACCGGACGTGGTTATTCTTTCCTTGGCACCGTATTATGATTTACTTCCATGAACGCATCCTTGGTAGTCTGATCGGAGACGACACCTTTGCTTTGCCCGTGTGGACTTGGGACATCCCTGAAGGAATGATGATTCCGAATTTTTATGTCAACATGAATTTATCTTTCTTTCATCCAGAGCGTGACTTTTCACATTTTCCACCTCAGATGGCAGATTTAGACTATGCCACTGAAAGACATATAAGTCGCGAACAGCAAATAGATACAAACCTGGCATTTATGTATACCCAAATGGTATCTGGTGCAAGGAAGACAGAATTGTTCATGGGATGCGCATATAAAGCCAACGAGGGGTATTGTAATGCACCTGGCACTGTAGAGCGTGCTCCTCACAACACTTTACACACATGGATTGGCAGCAATTTAAATCCTGGAAGGGAAGATATGGGTAAGTTTTACTCAGCAGCAAAAGACCCCATTTTTTATGCACATCATTCTAATATCGATCGTCTTTGGGACGTTTGGAGGGAGATTCAGGAATATCAATTGGATATCAAAGATCCAGACTGGCTTGACTCTTTCTTTTTCTTCTATGATGAGAACTTGAAGCTGATAAGGGTTAAGGTTCGCGATGTTCTTGATATCACCAAACTTGGTTATTCTTACGAGGAGGTCGACCGTCCTTGGTTGAATAAACGTCCCTCGCCTTCAGTTCCTCCAAAACTAGCTCGTCAGATACTAAAATCCAAAGAGAATGAGAACCAATTTCAATTTTCAAGCAACCGTGTTTCGTCCTCTGATTTCAGGCCCCATGGTCGAGCTCTAGACATTGGCTTGACAGTAAAGGTTAACAGATCTAAAGATCATTTGATCAAAAAGGAGAAAGAAGAGGAAGAGACCATAGTTGTGCATGGAATTGAAGTGAAAGGAGACGCATATGTTAAGTTTGATGTGTATGTAAATTTGATTGATCAGACAACAATCAGTCCAAAGTTCAGGGAATTTGCAGGGACCTTTGCTCACATCCCTGGGGGTGGCGAGATGATGAAGAGAAAGATCAATCTGAAACTGGGAGTGTCAGAACTATTGGAAGATTTGGAAGCAGATCAAGATGAAAGCATCTGGATAACATTGTTACCAAGGACAGTAAGCTGTGGTAATGTAACAATTGAAGCCATACAAATTGAGTACATCAAATAAATCATTTCTTGGTTAGGAAATAAAAAGAAAACTTTTTGAAGTCTCCTTTATTTTGGAGATCTCATTGTTATGATGCAAGATATTTTCTTTTCTTCTTTTTTTTTATTTTGTTTTTTATTATGGAGTTCAAATGAATCGTCGGTGATGATAATGGAAACTATCAGTCATTGGTCTATGCAAATTCCTTAACGTCGTCAAATAGTATATGTGTATTGATTTCTTGTGTTAATGTAACTATTGTAATCAAATGGTTACGATTTGATTTGATCATACTTAAACTCTAAAGACCCATAGTTGAATCTGCAAATTTGAGGCCGAAAGGCAAAAATTGATCGCTGTGGTCCTTTCTTTTGATCATTATCCAGCAGCAGCCCTTGCTTTGGCTTGTCTTTTTCTGTGAAATGACCTTTATAACTTCTTCCCACCGAATGATATGATTGCTGTCTTTATTTTTTGTAATCAGGTTTGGATTTATCTGATTTTTTTTTTTAAGTCAAGGTAGGCAAAGATTGTTTTCCAGCAAACAGGCCAACTGTCACCAGTTAAACTTTCTTTCAACAAGTGATAAATTACGTGGTATTTAAATAAATATTTTCATTCAAATCAATTAATTATAATTCGATATCTAAATAAATAATTATAAGTCACAATTAATTTTAAATATATATAAAAAAATATATTTATATCAAAAAAATAAAAAATATATCAGATAACATTCAAAATTTTTGAATAAAAAATATATTTTATTATTATCGAAAATAATATATCAAAATTTTACACCATCATCAAAATCAAAGAGATAACCTTTGATGAGTGGTTTACGTCCGTATCCTGAGACAGTCTGACTGCTTATTCTCTTAAAGATCATAAAAAATTTTAAAACTATATTATCATTAATCATTATAATATTAAAAATAAAAATATTTTTTTTAACACGAGATTTACTCTCCTCTTGACATCTCTATACAATCATGACTTTATACGTGAATGACTCGTAACAACTTAAACTTCAATCAGAATCCTATATAAGATTGGCTTATGACACTGACCGTGTGCCAATTTTTTTTGTCGATATCAATAAATATTCTTAGGTACTTTTTCCGACATTTTTTATTGGTATCAAATTTTTCTAGTGATAGCTTGAAATTTTTGAGTAAAATAATCAATAGTAACTTCTTTTATTGGAGATAAATTAATTTAATAATATCCAAAACACAAATTTACATGCACATCAAGCCCAAAATTTTCAAGATTTCAAAACCAAAAAAATTGTTTTCTTATTAGTACTATTTAACACAAAAAATTGCAAAATAGTACTATTATAAGTTGAAGGTGCATACATGAAAAATTCATTTGAATTGATTCTATATGCTGAGACAATTCATCGTGAAGTCAGTTTACTTTGTTGAGTTAGCTTCTACTTGTGAGAATTGTCAGACACATAAACAGAGCAGCCCAATATCTAGCTCATAATTTGGCTAAGATTGAGGGTAAGGTGGGAAGTATCCAATGACTGCTCAACAAATGTCATCAGTGTTATCTAGCTCCTAAAAGGTTAAGCAACGCCATCGGCTTGTTGAAGGGGAAGGGAGAGCAGAGGTTGAACATGAACGCTTGCGAGCAAAATATGATATATAGGGGCTTGAAGGGAAAACAGTAAAACCATATGTTATTGATGAAAATATAGTTTTGAGAATAAACATGACAGCTACTTAAAACCAAACATGGTCACCCTGAGCTGGTGAGCTTTACCATTAAGAAAAAGTGTTAAGAAATTCCAGCTGCTGTGGCTTGTTCAAAATGTTTTTTAAGTGCATGACAACAGCCATATCGAATATAAGACTTGTCTTTTGTAGACTGCTTATACATCAATCAATGCGTTCGGTAAAATTTAATACAATAATGAATTTAATTATTTTCATCAACCACAGTGGAAATGGTACTTGGGCGACTTTTGAAATTGGTTGGTGCAGGTCTAAGCCACCCTCTCCCTCCAATTATGTCCTTGGTCAGAAATGGTGCAGCTTCATCATGTGATAGGCGGTGCGACCACTGAACCCTCTTCGATGTATCAGCCCCGGGACCATTGCACTTGTATTCCCCATAATACACAGTACTGTCATGTAAATTAGAAATCATAAAATTCCCAGTAAACATGGTAGTGACATTACGAGGTATTGCCATATTGGTTTTCAATTCATAGAATGAAGTTTGAGTCTGATTTTAGTTTTTCAAATTAGATAATATACCAATGCTTGCTTTGGTCTTGCCAGTCATCCCATCCTTGTGGGACTATCACACTGGACATGTAGGTCAGGGCAAAGACTACACGAGAATAAGCACCCCACGGCCTTCCAAGGAAAGCAGCGCCAATGCCAGTGATCTTGCAACACAAGAAAGTGAAGCCAGTATTCTCTGACGGTGAAATCCTGCGTTGAGCAGTGATAGACCCGTTTCCTGTTGAAAGGGAATGCAAATGGCACCTCTACAAGGAGATTAAAGTTGAATCAGTTTGCTAGTCAACTATGAAAATTTGTACTCCTGAAATCCTGCCTTAAATTTGTACTCACTTCATAAAGGGAGGCAGCATTTCCACACACAAAATCTGTGGCTCCTTCATTGTAGCAATTGCTGAAATAATGCTTTCCAGCATCATCTAGGAGAGTATCTTGATAGGAGAGAATCCTGCATCCATAGAATGCAGCTCTGTCTCCTGATACCCTCATTGCAACAGCCTTGCCAGACGTCCCATATGTGTTCTAAAGCCACAAATTCAATTCATTAGAATTTGGAGATAAATCAGCGAACTTAGGGTAATCTCATTTTCAAACTCTATTCATATCCAAATAGCACATGTCCATGTATCAATAAAGATGGTTATGCCAAAATGGTTTCAGTTTAAAACCAACAAAATACACAAGCAGTGGATTGTAAGGGAAGAAAGTGGAATTTAATACTTGTTTGGAGGCCACTATATGCTGTAGTTGAAAAGGAAATTTAGAGATGGATGAGTGAAGTTTTAGAATATCCTTTCACTACCATCAGCTCTAGGAATCGATTATACATATAATATCAGCCAAAATTAGGTACCTGAATTGTGAGATTGCGTCCAACAAAGTCAGAAGCCAATACAGTGAGCGTTGCAGAATCAAATATCTCCCCGCTGTCACTCCATGTTATTATGGTATCAGAGGCCTGAGTGCCACTTAATGTTATAAATGGCTTATCACCAGGCACAACAATCTTTTCTCTGCTTAATGATAATTCAAACGAAACAGGAGTAAAAAAATGTTTAAAAAAAAAAAAACATATTCGCTTTTAATCGTGGCCAAGCCCAAATATTACCTGTATGTCCCTGGCTTAACCCAAATGAAATAAAGTGCAGAGTTATTAGATGGAACAGCGTCAACAGCATCTTGTATCTTCCTAAAATCCCCATTGCCAGCCTGATCGACCCTTAAAAGAATGGCGGTGGACATATCTATGGCTGTTGCATTAACAGTAAGAGAACGAAAAAGAATTCCAATTACTGAAATGATAACAATGTTAATAGCATGGCTATAAATATTCATTTCTGCGCCCATGTGCGCATATGATGAGACTTCCTTCGTCTCGATGGGTGTGCTGGCTGAGAAAATTAGATTAAAACTCATCAAACAATGATTTTAGTGAAGCAACAATGAAGCAAAGTTACACAATGTTGACAGCTTAATTACGTACATAGAACAGGAAGGTAGAGGGGGCCTTATTATATGGTCTTCCCAAATCCCAAAGGAAGTGAATGACAAACATATAGGTAATCAACAGTGTGGATCGCTTTCTTATGGTTGAAGTTCAGAGATAGTGATATTGACTCAAGCAAGCCTTTGCATGCCGATTACATAGACTGTCAAACAAATGTAGATTTATAGCAGTCTATCAATAATTCACACCATTGTAGACCGAATTTTAGTTAATGAAAAAAAATCAATATGCAGGTATCTTATACTCATGATGACTATTGGATTTAGAATTCAAAATATGTATTAGAATAAGCAAATTCCATGCCGTAGGAGCTTAAACATTCATTAGATAACCATTCAACTGAAAATTTGAAATGTTGGATGAAATTTGACATATTTGGCAATTTGAATGTTAGTTGATTACTTCAATCCCGACAGGTTTGGTATTCTTGAACCTGAAGGATCGAGCTAGAAGTAACGTATTAGTAATATTTAGGTAAAGCCTCTTGCCCTAAAACTCTGAAAAAAGTCTAATATGACAATTATATCTTAATTGGTGGTATTAACAAATTTACAAGTAGGTATACTGGCTTTGTTCCTTAAATCTTGTACTCAAACTCGCAAGTAACAATGGTTACACCAAATACTTAGACCTCAAAGTGTAGGTGTTCTTGTTCGAAAAATCAAATTCAAATCTCCTTTCTATTAATTAAAAAATAATAAAAGTTAATATCATAAATAATTTGTAAATTATAATAAAATATTTAATATTATATTTAAATTTTAAAAATCTATAATGTGATATCTAAATTATATATCTATTAACTAATATAATATTTGAAAAGTTATTTATTTATCATGTGTTATCATTTAAAGTTAATCACGTTAAAAGTGAATACTATTTTAATTAACAAATTTATAATTCATATATCACATTAAAAATTTTTAAAATTTAAATATCACATTATCTATCTTATTATAGTTTAGGGATTATTCATGAAATTAACTTAAAAAATAATAAAAGCAATAGTGTTGAAAAAAATCATTTTTTGGGATGAAGGAAATAATTATTTATTCATGAAATGAGTTTTTTTTACATAAATCAATTACAAATATCAAAACAAAAATGAATAGAGGAGGTACTAACTATTGAAAAAAAATTGTTATTGTTCCATTTAATGGAACCCAATCTACTTTTGTAGATTTTGGGCTTACCTGATTTTGCTAATTGTGGGCTACAATATGATCTGAATCCAGCCTGGTCCGCTGTTCAAGGTTCCAGCTCTAAAATAATTGCGAGGCAATGTGGAATGACTCGTGTGAGTTGAATTCTACGAATCTGCGATCTTTGGACACGACACAATGTTCAAAGTTCAATCAAAGACGAACTTTGTGTCTGGCGGCGACACCGAAAGCAGACTAATCAAAGTTGGTCTGCTATTTCAACCCACGTTCCAAATATTAAAACCAAAACGAAACTTCAAAACAGGAAGGAAAAAAAATATCCAAGGAAACCAGAATTCAGAAACGAAAACAACTTTTTTTGTTTCTTTAAGGAATCGTTTTGGAATCAATCAACTAAATGGAGACGGTATTGGAAGATGAAGAGTACAATTACAGAGAAGTAATTTTACCTAAATTGATCCCAATAGTTCCAGAGCCGGGATTAGAGAGGGAAACAGGGGAGAGAAGGAGAGGCAGGGATATAGTTATAGCCGTTGATCATGGTCCCAACAGCAAACACGCCTTTGATTGGGCAGTTATTCACCTCGTCAGGCTTGCTGATACCATCCATCTTGTCCATGCTGTTTCCAGTACGCAAAATACCACATGGTTATTTCTTTGAAAGTTATCAACTACTCTTAGGTTGTTTTGTTAATTATTTCTCAAATCCCTTTCTGGGGTTCCTTTTTTTTTTTTTTTGTTTAAACAGGCGTCAGAAACGAGATTGTTTATGAAATCAGTCAAGGGCTTATGGAGAAGTTAGCTGTGGAGGCTTTTGAAGTTGCCATGGTTAGTTTTCTAATTGCTTAAAGATGTGAAATCAATGAGAGTGTGTGCCTATCGTATGAATATTTAAACATAGGCTGTCCCTGATGCATTCGTCTCCGTGTCTAATATTTCCATAGACGAGTATATTGATTGTGATCTGCAGATTACTTCTTTTATTGAGAAAGAGAATGGGTAACAATTTTTATGAAGACGAATGTAATCTCTACCTATGTATGATGCAAAATATAGGTTGGTTAGTTCCAATTCTGGAACTTTAGTATGGCATTTATAGGGAAGTTCACTTTAAATATGCATCAATAAAAACCACCTACTGAAATCTTGAACTTTGAATTGATTTTCTATTTGCACCTTAAACTTGTTCTCTGTTCTTTCTTAATCAATGTCGATCCATTGTAAATATGCAAATTTTATTTCGAATATTCTGTCAAATATATGATATAGTCCAGTGTTTTAGTTTTTTACTAAAAGTGTATATGTTGATAGAAATCTAACAGAAACTTTGAATTTTTAATGGAACATGCTATTTAAAGTGCAATTTAACAAATAGTTTTATCATCAATACGTTCTAACTTGGTTACAAGTTTATGCTGCAAATTGATGATTGATTCAAACCTCAGGGTAGCATTTTGCAATCAACCCTTTTTTTTGCATGTCCACTTTAACTCAAATGTAGCGTAGAGGGTCTACAATTATTCAGTTTTTGGGTTTCAAAATCATAGTTGTTCTGGAATTAGGTGAGGACTACAGCTCGAATCATTGAGGGGGATGCAGGTAAAGTAATTTGCAAGGAAGCAGAAAGGTTGAAGCCAGCAGCAGTGGTTATGGGAACTCGTGGTAGAAGCTTAATACAAAGGTTTGCTTTCCCCTAAACTACATGCTACATCTTTCTGTTTGGATGCTTGTGCTTGTGTTACTTTGCCATTCTACAAAGTGAGTAAATTACCCCCTTGTTTCCTTGCTCTTCTCTCATCATTTTTATACTTTTGTAGTGTTCTTCAAGGAAGTGTGAGCGAGTATTGCTTCCACAACTGCAAATCTGCTCCTGTCATAATTGTACCTGGGAAAGGTATCATTTCTCTATTCTACAGAATTCTTCCCTTTCTTTTCTTTTACTTTATCCATTGGAAATTTGGAATGATTCACTCATTTTTTTTAACTTGGCAGAAGCAGGAGATGAATCACTGATATAGAGGCATGAGTTAACCTGAGAAACTAATAGTCAGGAGATTGTTTATTTGATTGTAATGATAGCTTTGTTGTTTGTTTGTATGTATGGCGGTGTTACAGAGAAACCTAGAACATTGTCTTATCTGGTTTTACCATACAATTTTTTGTGTGTAATTAATTGTTTCGATTATGATTTGCTTGATTAGCCGAAATCCCAATTTATGTTGTGGCAATATTTTCTTTTTATGATTAGTGGATTTTGGTCATCCAACATGAAAGCAGCAAAAAGGTTTAGCAGAACTGAAATGTACAAGCAAAGATGAAATTTCGAACAGCAAATCACTTCATAATCCACATTACAAACATGATATTTTTTCCGTGGGTTGCCAATTTTTCAATGCATCTGAGTTGCATTCATAACAAATCAATGGCTACAAGTGCTGCTTTGCTGCAACATATCCTATCTAAAATTCATCCAGGTTATTAGTCTAGCTGCTTTCTGGAAGCCAGAAGTCAGTTCCATCATCCATGGATGTGTTGAGCATTCATTCATATCTAGGGTGGCAGTTCCATTGATGTTGTGTTGGTATTGATCTGATTTACCAAACTAATTTTCCTTATTTCTGGCAGATTACCTGTTTTTCATTTACAACAAATTCATTTCTGCAATGGAAATCTTAATTATGGTTGCTTGTAATTATTATCGTACTGAAATCTTCGGCCGTCTAATGGGTCTAATAGATCCACTCCACAAGTGAAATGCCCTTGAACGGATGACTTTCCTGTGCCTCTGCCAACCCATTTGTTCCCAGCTGCAAACGGGCCCAGGTAATGTGTCTTAAAAAGCAGCCCTCTTAGCGGCTTTAGGCAGCTTCAGTCTGATAACAGAAACATCACTTTCAAAAGGCTTCAATTATACATGAAATTTGTCTCGACTGGAGCTTTGGTTATTTCATATAGGTCCCAGATTTCGAGCAACTTATTGTGAACAAAATTTATGGTTTAATGTGTCTTGGTCCTGCCATTAAAATATCAGCATAAAAGATGAATATTTTAACATGAAATAGTCTAGTTCGATAGTTCTTGTTTATACCAATTACGATATTATATGCAAGTATGTAATCCTGTCTATGGAATTCTGGCAGGAAGCAGTGGAATGGTGCTGGCTGTTTCTCAGGATTCTTGTTCAAGGTAAAGACAAGCACTGGACTTTCACTTGCTCCAAACAAATCCAACAGAATCTTTGTGGGATTTGTCCCTTTTTATTCCTTGGAATTGCTGCATGAGAAAGGTTAGAAAGGAGGGAAAAAATACACACAAAAGAAATGGGCCCAAGAAAGGGAAAAGGCAATCTCATCTTTCACAATCAACACAAAACAAAGAGAATCAAAGAGATCTTGCCTATGGATGAGGCCAGGTCCACCCCTTTCACTTTTACTTATGGCTTGCAAATGAAGGTAAGCTGAGGCTTGTGACTCCAAGAATAAGTAGATGCAATGAAGGTGCAGGCATCCTTCAATGGTCCTTGCCAGAGCCGCAACCTACACTGAAAAGCTTCCTTCTTATTCATTACAACACCAGTAGTTTTTTGAGTGTCTTTTAAAACTATCCTTCGATAGAACATCCCCCAGTCCTTCAGCTTTTGCTTGTAGGAATTCAGGTCCATTATTGACAATTATGATAAAGATGGTTGCTCAAGTGGTGTAGAGAGTTTTTTTTTAATTTTTTTTATTATCTGGGTTCATATCTGTTAAGAGACGGTGAATATAATTTCTCGTGAATTTATTTGGTTTGACGTAAATAGACTTGTTTAATCTGATTTTAAAAGTAAATGTAATAGACAAAATCCAAGAGGCTGTTGCCGCTAAATAAAAAAAAAAAAGAATTGTGATAATCTGGATAAACGTAAATCCAATCAAGTTACATCCTAAAAGGAAAATTGAAACTATTTTTTTGGCCTTCTGCTGAACAAAGAAATGGATAGGAGGTTCAACCCCGGGTGACCATAAGAGTGTCCTGATTCCCTTGCCTGCTAGTGCTAGAGAACCTAAAACCAAGCAGCGCCCAAGGGTTTAGATTTGTCTCCAAGTTGACAAGTTCCATCTTCCGTTGATCACCCACACAAGCAGTTAATGTACCTCTACATTTGTACCACATTCTTCTGCAGATTTATCCATGTTGATATCAGGTGCATCAACCTTCAGTTATTATCTATTTTGTAGTTATGTATGGTTTTAGTAAAGCCGTTGTGGCTTTGTTAATGAGATACATCATCAATATTCATAAATGCCAAATCATATATCGTCCTTTTACTGGATTCTTACTGATCTGACAAAGTAATGTTTGTGTGACTAACATGAGTTCTGAGTTTTCTCCACCAATGAGCTAAAACAGCAGGTAGACTGACTACAGAAGCCCCTGTTTTCTTCTCCAGTTCGTATTTTCCTGGTGAATCTTAATGTGTTGAAGTAAAAATCTTGTGAAATCTGGGAACATTTGGATTATTCTCTCCCTGGATTACCATTAAATAAGCAAAGTGCCTGCGTCCAAGCTTTATATACAGTTTTGAAGTTGACAAATTGGGTAACTCCTCTTAGGATGAATCATAAAAGAATAATCTATATGGAAATGATTCAAGTCTGATTCAATTTCCCTAGAAAAAAAAGTAATATTGGATATGACTTGGGAGTCATAGAAACCAGTCAAGGGAGATGAATAACAAAGGGATGGTTCCCTTTCTGTGACATCCCTGTGCCTGTGCGCATACAATTTTCGCTCCTTATTCTTCATTATATGCAGTTATGCACTAATTATCAATGTCCCGATCAACATATATTATTCTAACTAAAAGGGAGCCAAGATGGTCCACTAATAGGATTCCTGTCCTCTGTCCTTGCTGGACTGCTCCAAGTTGTCACTTAGGTTTATCAAATAGAGGAACAACTTGTGCCACTGAATTATAGTCTATGCATTCCCTCACCATTACAAAATGTTGTGGTGCTTCTTGCATTCTCTAGTCTAGTTTAATGCAGAACTAGATTCACTTTCTATCGTAGAAATGAAACAGTGAGTGCAAATAACTATGTCATTGTTAAAGGAGGTCAATTGAACTAGACTGATCTTTCCTTGCATTTATCCATATCAACCACCTTTAACCCACCTGTTCTTGACCCCCAAATTTTTGTTCTCCGCCTCCATCCCATGACCTTTATTTTTACCTTAAATGTAATTGGAATCCATTGTGCTGTGATTATGAACATACAATATGAACAATAGAGAGTTTGAAGTTAATTAGTAATGATCTTATTCATACTATTTTCAAGCATACACGCAAATATTTATATAACCTTATGTATTTAAAGAAGCAAAAAAGAATCTTGATCTTATTCATACTATTTTCAAGCATACACGCAAATATTTATATAACCTTATGTATTTAAAGAAGCAAAAAGAATCTGGATCAAAGGCAACTGGAATTAACTCAATCGTCAATAAACCGTTGACTGATATCGTGATTCACATCTCCATCTTTAGATGGCTAGCTTCAATGGAACCCTGCATAAATCAAATTAGGTAGATCAGATATCAATATTTAATATCAGAAAAAGTATTAAGTTTTCGGTGATAGAAAAACATCAGTAGTTGCCCTGAAATTTTTAAAGGACGGGTATAACAAGAGGTCCGGTCCAACTTTTCATGCTGTCGCCGGTTCGATCTTCCTATGGAATTCAACAGCAAATAGAAATTAACAGTGTGATGACTTCCCGAGTTTTGCTTTTTCAGGTCATTGTGGTACCGTAGGTGCACATTAGTAGGTCAAAATATTGTTTACTCTATCTAAATGAATAATCAAAGGAATATATTGATCATTGAATAAAATCTATGGTTCCGATAATTATGGAGTGAAAATGATAGAAAGCTTCCTTTAAAGTAACTTTCTTCATTTCAATCATATATGGGACACTTTTCTTCCTCGGCAAAATCATTTAACAAATGTGATGTCTCTATCAGCAGTAGCTAAACCCAGTTTGCTTCATTTTCTGCCTTGAAAAATAATCAAAACAAGAAAGACAACATTAACAATGACGTGTTAGCTTTTTGTACCTGTAAATGGTTGAGATGGAAAGGGTGTTGTTGATCCTTCCTGGTCAAATCCCACATTGTAAAGATTTTGCAATTCAACATCCCATGCTGCAGAGGATTGAAATTGCTGCATTGCGAGTGTTGATCTATAGTGAGAAAAATGGTGAATACTGTAGAAGAGAGTAAAGCACAGGAATAAAAAGGAGAAGGGAAAATTACGGCCAAGCAGGATGAGTCGAGAAAGGATGCATCGGGGATTGATAGAGGGGCATTAATGGTTCTTTGAAGTGCCATATCAGGAGAGTTTATTTCCATTCCCATTCCCATTCCCATTTCCACTTCACGACAAGAAACCACTTGTTGAACCGGATTGAACTGAAGATAAGGAGGGTTTGCCATTTCTGATAACATCCCAACTGTTGGAAAAGTAGTCGTACAAGATGCAAACAGCTGTCGAGAACAAACAATTCCAGCATAATTAGTAACAGAAAAATGTAATACAGCAGCTGGATTTTGCCTTACCTGTTTGGCAAAAAGATTATCAATGTTGAAGTCAAGCTTTGGATTTACAGCAGCTAGTTTCATAGATAGGAGCTGCAGATTATGAGCATGGGGGCACAATTAAGATAGTGGGTGAACATAATATGGTAAAAAAAAATGAAGATTCCATAGGTTTTTTTTACCTCAACTTGCTGTTGAAGAGATTGAACATAACTGGTTATTTCATCAAGCATTCCTGCTTTGCCTGTGATTTTGTTACATCCCGGAACTAAATCTTGCAGATACTTCATTCTTTCACTGATTTTTTCCCTTCTAACCTATATAATGAAAACAGAAATCAAACAAATTAAAAACATTATTCTCTAACGAAAGAGACCTGATAAATCAGAAGACACTTCGATCATAACCTCAAAAAATACCAAAAGAATGAAAAACACACAAATTCCTACTCACTCTCTCAGCTAAGCTGTGCCTATCGGTGGCTTGGCCACGACGTGCCCGGACGTGAATATAATCAGGCTTTTGAACCTTAGAAAACTTTGAATTCTCCTTGGAAGTTTCAGTAGAAGTTTGCTTCTTATTGTTATTGTTGCTGCTGCTGCTTTTGTTGGTGTTTGGCCCTGTAATTTTTGACTCTCTCTCTTCTGCACAGGCTTTGATCCTCTTGGAGTCATCTTCCGCAACAACCTAGACATAACCAAAAGAGAAACTTCAATTTAATAATCTCACCAAAACCTACCCGACATTGCATCCTTTGAAATGGTGCTTTTGTTTTTTGCCGCAATTTGGTTCTTAGAAGAGACACGAACTCAAAACGGAGAGCAACAAGAACCGCAAATTAGATTTTTGTACAAAAAACAGAACTCTAGATTTGAGGAAAGAAATCCCCAACAAAAATAAAGAACAAATCTACCTAGGCTTACGTTTCCAGTTAAACGATAAGAAATAGTACTAAAAATGATAATGTATGAATAAAGCAAGACACAACACACACCTTGGAGCAATGCAGCTTATCAGCTTTTCTTTTCTTGAAGCTTTCTCTTCCAATGGCTGAACCCAACTTCTCTGATTCAACCGACTCCTTGCCCTTGGCCTCCACCCCCTCGGTGGCTACAGCAGCCGCCACCACAGCTGGCGGGCAGCTGGAAGTCCTATAAATAGCGTAATTCATATCAAAACTTGGCCCATTAACGTACCCACATTGCCCAAACCCCATGCCAGCTATGTCAATGTTCCCCAACTCAGACCGGGCAGTCTCCAAACCAGGGTCAGGCTTCGCTTGCGGAGTCATCACCATGTCACATAACAACGAGTCACCGCTCAACAAACCACCCTGTAAGCCTTGTACATGGCTGGTTTGGTTTGAAAAGACCCCTCTTAACTCACTGAAATAACTTTGCTGTTGTTTTTCTTGCTGCTGAAGCTGTTCCTGTTGCCGTTGCAAGGGAGCCTTTTGTCTCTCGAGCACTGTCATGTCCGAACATTGTAAGATCTCTGGAAATGCATTATTCATGTCAAACCCTCAAAATTAAAAACTACAAAAAGACCCCAAAACAGCCAACAAAAGTTAAAAGTAAAAAAAAAAAAAAAAAGCTGGTAGTAATAAGGACTACAATAGCCAACAGGAAGACAACAGTGCTGAAGATGAAGAAGATTAGGCAGGTTCGCTATATGTGTTCATGCCTCACACGAGTTCATTGTGAACCGTATAGTACCAGATACCATATCACTAGGTGATGTTCTCTTATATACATATATATATATATATATATATATATGTATATGTACTTTGAGTACTTTTGGGGAAGAAAGAAAGAGAGAAATGAGAGGTTTTGAGGGCAGAGGATAGAGGGAGAGAGAGAGGTATTTATAAAGGGAAACAAAGGGCGTTTTTGGAAGAGAGAGATTTTCCTTTTCTTTTTTCCTTTTTTTCTTCTGCTATAATAACACTAACATTGCATAACAGATTTTACTACTAATTTGTAAAAGTAAGTGAAAGTTAAGAGCATAAATCTTAAAGATATTGGCATGAAATGGTAAATTTATATAATTTTTTATAATATTTTAAAATATTTTTATATTTTGTTGAACTATAATCTTCTTTCTATTTTAAGAATGTATTTTTTTAATCAATTTAATGCATTCAAAAATTTTCTTTTTAAGTAATTTTAAAAGTACCGAATTTTGGTTAATTAAAAAAATTTCCTCATCAATCCTATTAATTTATATGATTAAAAGGTATACATTTTCATGTACCGAGTGGATTCGGCTGCCCTCCGTTTCGATTTTGAACAGGGGAGAGCAAAAAACGGTGATATATCATGCCAGTCATTAACGGTTCACATCATGCTACCTCATCATGACTGTAAAAAGGTTTGGATGCATTGAATTAATTATCACCACTGCTGTCTCTCTAAACTAACTTATAGCAATACACTGCCAACCCAGTAACGCCATCTGTCTATGCTCACTGTTAGCCAATATGCAATTAGAGACAACCCAGATCATGCCAATTCATTAACGGCTCACATAATGCCACCTCATCATGACTGTAAAAAGGTTTGGATGCATTGAATTAATTATCACTACTGCTGTCTCTGTAAACTAACTTATAGCAATACACGGCCAACCCAGTAACGCCATCTGTCTATGCTCACTGATAGCCAATATGCAATTAGAGACAACCCAGATCATGCCAATTCATTATCGGCTCACATCATGCCACCTCATCATGACTGTAAAAAGGTTTGGATGCGTTGAATTAATTATCACTACTGCTGTCTCTCTAAACTAACTTATAGCAATACACGGCCAACCCAGTAACGCCATCTGTCTATGCTCACTGATAGCCAATGTGCAATTAGAGACAACCCAGATCATGCCAATTCATTATCGGCTCACATCATGCCACCTCATCATGACTGTAAAAAGGTTTGGATGCGTTGAATTAATTATCACTACTGCTGTCTCTCTAAACTAACTTATAGCAATACACGGCCAACCCAGTAACGCCATCTGTCTATGCTCACTGATAGCCAATGTGCAATTAGAGACAACCCAGATTTGTATGCATAGAACTCAAAAATCTATAATTTTAAATATAAAAAAATAAAAATTATAAAAATAATGATATTATGTACAAATAATATATAGATTTTAAAAAAAATTATGAATATTATTTTAAAAAATAAGCCCTTGTTAACATTATCAATTAACAATAAGTTAATTGTGATTGTACAATAAAAATAAATTTGGTCCAACTATTGATATAACTTATTAATTGATAAATTAATAAGAAACTTCACTTAAATTTATAAATCACGAAAAATGCTTATTGTTTAAGTCTTGTAGAAAAACAGTCATCATTGCTCACTACTATATCTAAAAAGTGAGTTTGAAAATTTGTATTATCATAAATTTAATTGTCAAAATTAAAAATATTAATTATATTCTAAATATTTTAAATTTATTATTTATCAAAATTATTATTATTATTTATTATAATTTTGGTGAATGCCATGCTACTATCATTTACTATATGATTTCATATTTTCAAATCATATCATAAACATGTAAAAAAAAACATAAACATTAAGTGCATAGGAACTCACAAAAGAAAACGATCGTCGTCGTCCTCATATCATCACGATTCATCAAGTGTTGTGTTGTCTATTATTGTAGGTTTCTGGGTCCCCAGAGGTAGGCGGAAAGCTCGCTCTGCGTTACATCTCCACCCACATGTGCTCTACACGTGGTAGGTGTGTGTTGATATGACAAGTCAGACCGCTGCGTGGTCAAACGGGGTTCTGTTCTTATACTTCAGGCTGTTTTAGATGTTTAAAGAGAAAATGATATATCAGTTACGGATATAAACGAGCCTTATATTACCTGTTTTAATTTTTATATTCAATGAATATTTAATTTTGTTTTCATTTTTAAAATTTGAAATTTATATTTATTTTTATTGTAATAAAAAATCGAATTATAATAAAACCAAGTTTTGTCTATAAAAGGGAGTAGAGTCTTAGTTGTTAACTTATACTCTTTTTGTCCAATATTATTTGTCATATATTGAATTTTACAAAATTTTAAAAAATTTAATTTTTTTATAAAATTAAAGTTTTATAATTTTTAACATAAAAAAGTAAAAAAAATCATAAAAAAATAATTTTAAAATATAAACAAGTAAAATTTTAAATGTTTAAAAAATATGATATAATTTTAAAACATTCCAAAAAAAAAAAGAAATATATTACTACAAAATATTAAGACTTGTTAATTTCTGTTTGGTGCTAAGAAAGTTAATTGAACGATTAAGAAAAGGCGGAGTGGAAGCCATAGCAAAATCTTAGATGTTGGAAATTAAATTGACATTAATATTCAATTATTGTTGTGTTCAGATATTATTATGTTTTTGTTATTTGTCATGGTGTACTTCTCATCTAAATAAATCATTCATATATCCTCTTAACTTGGACATTAATGTCGAAAGCAACATCTGGACATTAAATTTGTTGAAAATTTTCTATGTTTTGGCCCTATTGGCCATTATGTATATGTAGAATGTCAGAGACCACTGTTCGTTGTGAAATTAGGAAAACGGTAGATCTGGGGGAATTTGAAAAGAAAAATGAAAACCATAATTCACTGCCTTAAAAGCTTCAGCTATGGAGAATTATAGCTGTAAGGATTTCTACTATTTCTTTTCCTTTTTCGTAGGTTTTCTCTCTTGTTGTACGTTACATATACAGGAGGGCAATGAAATCACTGGCAATTAATTAATGTTGAAATTTATTTCTTTCGGCAGATAAAGATAAGACTTTATGCATTGGCTTAGCTTTAATTTGAAATATCAAACTCTTATTTAAAGGGATATTGGTTTTGATTGTATAACAGATGAGAACACCCACCTCAAAATTGATTTTGAAGGAAAGATTATGAACAAATGAACAGAAGAGCAGTAGCAGTGTAATAATGATAAGAAAGATCAGTCATGACTTTTGAGAAAGACGAGTTCAAAGCGTCGGCAGGCATGGGTCATAAACTCATAACTCACACATGCAACGAAAACATGCATGTTGCAGAATACACCAGCTGCGGCATCAAAGTCGACAGCAGTAAAGACAAGTTCTCATGTCTACAACTGCTTCACCATCATGTCAAAAGCAAACATCCCATAATCAGTGCTACTACATACAATTTTTTGTAATTTGCTGTTTGGTCAAGGTGTAGCTTGGACTCCTTGTAATTTCAATGAATTTAGTCTACTTCGAGTACTAAACCCCTTACTAATTGTCTGACAAAACTTACCTTCAAAAGCAAGGTAAAAAAACTGTGTTATATTGCTCCTCCAAAGACACAGAAAAGGAGAAGGTACAAATACTAATGGAAGGATCAATGCATTTGAACAGAATAGAGTGTGAGATAGTGATAGGGACTTGGTGACCATCTAGCTGTAGACACAAATTTGTAGATGGAGAGAAAAAAGTTGCTGATCAAAGATAAAACCTTTTGAAATGCATCGACTGAATTTATTTAATGAGTGCTCCCAAAATTAAAGACATGATCAGAAAAGAAAAAAAAAAAAACCCATTTTCAGCAAAGAAAGTGTTGGGTTGTATTGAAAATGCAAAGCAATAGCTGAGACACGATCACATGAGAGTTTTATGGATAACCATTTAAGAATAAAGACTGACAGGGTCTCAGTAATATTTATATATAGTCCCAGTAAAATTTTAGGGTGAGAAACAGTGATTGTGGGGTGGGAGACCAGAAAGACTAGGAGAGTGCTTAATGAATTTTTTGCCACTCTCTCAATGCTAGCCATATCTGTCTGTTCCCATTTCTTTCAAGCCATAAAACCAGAAAACAAATATTTTTTCTGTTTGTGTTTCTGTCCAAAACCCTCCCTATTACCTTCATCTAATATACCTAGACATAAACTTTTTAAATATCCAACAAGTAACTAAAATGCCAAGTAATGCTTCATATAATTGAATGGCTTCAAAATTCCAGGCTAGTTTCATTAATGCTTTTGAAATTCTTCTGTTTGACTACATTAATATTGATGTGTCCTGTAAACTGCATAGATCATCATCATCATGATGAGGTCGGTGGCTAGTGAAACCTGGAGCATTAAAATTCAAGAAAAGTTGTTGTACGATTTCTACTATTGGTGTCTTTGCAGAAGAAAATTTAATTTTAACTCGTCCCAGGTCACTCCCATGACTTTCAGGTCCTCACATTTATGGCCTGTTGCACATTTTCCCAAGATTGACCTCAAATTGGCAAACTCACTGCCTGAAATCTGGTCAATCATAATAGCCTCCCAATTATTGATGAAGCCATTAATTACCTGAAGCAATTAGCATTAATTTAGTTTGTGAGTGCATTTTTAGTCCTGTTTTAGTCATTACAAAATTATGGCAGTGGTGGGCCCAGCAAAAGGACGGAATGATGGTACAGAACACAGGGGGCAAGTAATTTTAGACCTGACGATGATTTGTATATTTATGTGAATAAAATATTAAAATTTATATATTTATATTATATTTTATATAAAATTATATATTATCATTTATATCAATATAAAAATATAAAATAAATTTTTTAATTTTATTAAATTTAATATAATAATTATTAAAATTTTAAATCTTATTATTTTTATATCTTATTTTCATATTATTTTTGAATTGTGTCAGCATGTCGTTTTAAATTGCTAGCTCTAGATAATTTAACGCGGATTACTCCAGCTCTAAAGCTGCTGCTGAATGAGTCCTGCAAGCTTATGATTGTGCTTGGTTTGGTAAAAACAAAGTCCAAATGATTTTCAGATCAGAACCCATTTTCTGATCCATTTAGTGAAAAAGCCCATTGACAATACCGAGTTTGTCAGCTCAGCCTCCAAAGAAAAAAAAAAAAAACCATTGATTAAACCCTAAACCCTCGTCTGATGCCGTTTCCAGAAATTCAACATCCGAAGACGCATCTTTTCAATTTTTGTGTTGATTTTAGGGTTTTTGTTTTTCCTTTCCTATTACCTAACATGGGTTGGAATTTTTATTGTCCTTTAAGAATTTGGGGTATTGGAAACATCGGGTTATCATCGAAGCGTTCAAGAAAAGCTAGAGGCAAAGATGTGGACTTGGAGGACTTCGACGATTCGGAAGATGAGATTGAGGAATTAATGGTTAATGGTGAAGAAGAAGAAGACGATGAAGAAGACATTGATGATAGTATGACACTAATGCTTTTGTCAAAATTTGTCATTATGCTTTCTGTTACTTTACAGAAACTTTATTGATATTATTTAAATATTATTAAAGCAATTTGTACATTTACAAATTTAAATGTTCATTAAAGCACTGATTGTGAAGATCCTATTCTCAAAAGAGTACAAGTCATCATCAGTTACAGATTGTTGTATTGGACTCTTCTCAAAATTGCTAGGTTAAAAAGTGCTGCTTTGAGAATGGTGTGTTGAGGCCTGGAGGCTGGCATCAGTGCTTTAATGAACATTTACAAATTGCTTTTATGGTTTTGACAAGCTTGGTCCTGTGCTTTGTGCTTCCTTTTTTCTTCTAAATTTTATAAGTCTTATTTTATCCTCACTTGGTACAATTCTCCTTTGCAAATAATATTTCTTGGTATGAGCATTTTAAGTTAACTGGAAATTTTTAATGCTTGAATCTTGTAGAATAGCTAACTGGAAATTTTAATGCTTGAATCTTGTAGAATAGCTGCTTTCAGAGAAAAAGCAGTTGACGTATGGCAGAGAAAGACAGAAGTCACAACTGGTTCTGCTGCAATCAAAAGCCAATTGCAAGCATTTAATCAGGTTTGATCCTTTAGCTGTCACTGATACTGAATCCATGCCCTATAGGATGTAAAATGAAATCACGTGGCTCTTCTGTTCCGATTCTAGAATATTAGTGAACAAGTGGCTGCCAATATGAGGGATCCAAGTAAAATGGTAAAGCAAATGCAACAAAGAATATGAACTATTGGCATATTTGGGCCTGTAAGTTACTAAATTCTTAACTAGTTTAAGGGTGATGAATTTACCTAAAATATTAGATATAGCTCTGGTTCGCTCTCTGTACTATGATCTCACTTTTTCTGTTTTCTGCTTCTATTGATTACACTTCCTTTGTTGGACAGGTTACCGAGGCCACTAACAATGCTAATGGAGAGGTATCGTTTTTCTCTCCATTTACTTTAGGCTTGTGGTTTTTGTATCAACTGCTACGTTCCAGCTCACCTGACATAAAAAGTGTGGAAGGTTTTTTTTTTGGGGGGGTGGGGGTGGGGGTTGATAATGTTTGCACAGCTGAGGTTAGTGTAAGCAATGGGCCTGTTTTGGAGGATGAAATTTTTGCCTATACCACATAGCAATGTAGTTGGATAGATATACTTATAGAATACCAAGAAATGCTTGTCCTTGAGGAACCTTCATTTGCATAGAAATTTCTTTGTTCAGGTAAAAATTCATGAAGGTAAGAGAAGTTGCTGATGGTCAAGCTGTGATGAGTGCTAGTCAGTATCTAGCCAAAGTAAAATAGCTGGTGGTTTGGATATTTGGTATAAGAATGCTGCTTTTGTTATTAATACATGTTATGCTGCTTTTCTCCTGTCAAATATTTTTATATTGAATCCTTTCTTTGCTTAGGGGCACATCCTGCAGGTGATCCTGAACTTCTGGATGATTCCGAATTTTTCCAGCAATTGCTGAAGGAATTTTTTTTTGAGACTGTTGACCCAACATCATATAGTACATCTTGTAAAATTTTCTTGCATGATTGTGTTGAGAATTATTTTTCTTTTTTAAAATCATTTATTACTGTTTGACCACAGAGAAAGCCTTCTATGCCTTGAAAAGACTGCAAGCTAAGAAGAGAAAAATAGTTGATCAGCATGCTTCAAAGAGACAAAAGATAAGGTAAGTTCTCAAGTGTGTTTAGATTAGCGCCTTGTAATATTTGAGTTCACGTTAATCTAGTGCATTTCTTCATGTCAAAATTTCCTGTTTAATAACATTCTTATTGGTACTATGTTCATATGAAGATTGTCAATTTCATGGCTCCTGAACCCATGAACCTTCCTGCCACGGCTCCAAAATTGTTTGAGAATTTATTTGGATTGAAAACCCAATAACCTACTGCTGAAGTCTGAATTTTTTACCTTTGAAATTTTGTAATATTACCCAATAACCCAATAACATGTGTTTTATTCTGATGTATAATTACCAACACAGGAAAAAAAAAAAGAAAAATTTAGAAGAGTTATATTTGATATACTATTAATGTATGAATTTTATATACAGTGAATTAGATAATGTTATTTCATTAAGCAAGTATCAACCTTTGAAATAAATATACAAAAAAATTACTCCCTTTGTCCTATAGTGATTAAATTTAATTTTTTTCATAAATTTGATTCATAAATTTGAAATTTTATAATTTTTAATGATAAAAAGTAAAAAAAAATTTTTATAAAAATTTAAAACATAAAAAAGTATGACATTTAAGTGTTAAAAAATATAATTTGGGGATATCTAAAAAGAAAATGTGGACAAATAAAATGAGAGTGAAAAAGTAGTATCTTTTAAAAATTTTATTTATTAATAGCCTCATTCATTAAAAATGTAATATTATTTTATTCAATATGTTTTTTTTTTTTTGTCAGGTTTAGTAATGCCCACAAATCAATTATCAGATTGAAGTCACTTTCGTGTCTTTTTCCTTGCCTTCATATAGTTCACTAGTGACTTTTTCTTTTTCCAAATGATTAAAACATATAGGCAAACAAATATCTGTCACTTGTGGAATAGAAAACAAGTTTTCATGATTCCCTTTGGTTGGCACAGGTCTCGTACGTTTTTATCTGCTTATCCTCAAACCCAAACAATTTAGCAGAAAGATGTCTTTCTTCTTCCGTTCCAAAATCTCCCTTCCAACCTTTTTGAATCATACATTCCTTGTCTATGCTGATCCTCCATGTATTCCTGTGCTTTGCTAGTTGATTGCATGGACCAGGACTTTTTGGGCTCTCGAAAAGTCACCGTTCCCCCACTATCTCCTTAACTTTCATGGCCCAGCAAGGACTTGAAAAGAGCTGGTTGCAGCCGAAGCCACCAGGAATCTGGGGCTGGATTCCCGACAGTGATGGCAGGCTACGTAGACGACTATTATTCACAACTAATTGTGTGGAATTAAGACCCAACAAACAAACCATAGAACTTTACCATGGTTCCCGCCTTCGTTCCAACCTGTTAGGAAAGGACCACAAACGGCAAGAAATCAGTCACTTCGTAAAGGGAATAAGCCCTTGAATGTACCCTTTCCAACGTTGATTGTTTTATGTTAATAAATAATAACCCCCAAAATATCAATGTAAATTCATAGGACCACCGTTTACTACTCTTATCTACAACAAATGGGTCGATCCATTATCAAATTAGCAAGTTGCCGGCCATCCATCCTATCTTTACTCGCACAATTCGTGAGCCGAAGGCAACTTGTTTCATGGGTGAACATTTTGGATGACAATAAATCAGCCCATTTAACGAAACTGACTAATTTAATGGGTAGTTTAATCTCTGTTCAGTAGGAATGACAGATGAAACAGCGGACAAAAGTCTGGTCTTGGTTTAAAATTTTCATACCATTTCAGGTTTTTAAATTTTTAACATGTAGTTTCCGTAGTTGGAAAGAGTTTAAACTCAAAAGTCAAAATAATAGAAACAAGAGGAGAGATTGCCTTGGAAATTGGAGGAGATAGTTGCACAAAAGAACCAAAATGAATTACTGGATGCCTCTGAAAAATCACTTTCATATCACGAGCGTTTACTGGTCTGGACCAGTGCATCTTTGTGCTATGGTCCTTAAGACGATGACCCAGCAATCATAATATGCATCTATTTGTGCATAATATCCACATCAGTAGTCAATTGACTCCATAAAAGAAAAAGATCAACGATGATTCTATCCCTTTATTCGCTAGTTTTCTGATTGAGTAAATTTTCCTTTTCATAGCTCTCAAAATGATCTATATACATTGTCCATTTCTTCTCTTTGATCTTCTTTTTGAGTGTTTTCTTGGATTATTGGTACTAGTGATATTTGAGAATTTTTCAATTTTTTTCAGCATTAAATTCGTTTTTAAGCTTAATCGAATCACTTTCAAATAGTATTTAATATCAAAGTCGTTGATTCAGCTTTTAACACAGATCCGACATGGATTTTGTTTAATTACTAGAAAACTGGCACCGGGTTTTCCTATCAAAGCACCTCGTTTCACCATGCCTTGATTCACAGATAATAGACGGTGAAAAGAAGCCTTTGGTTGATCTCAAATAACCAGCTTTTAATAGAAAAGAGAAAATGGACAAAGCATAGGACAACAGACACAGAGCAATGGTGAAAAGAAGAAATTTGCCTACCCCACTAACCAATCTAGTGACACAGAATCCATCCTGTTATCCAATTACAAAACCAGTAGCAACTGACAAAAAAAAAAGAAGAAAAAAAGAACCAATCCATAATGTGATCAGAGACATCTCTAGAGTAGGCTTTCAGGTAGCCAGCCAGAAGCTTCCAAAGCCCCAATACCAATGATCTGAAACGGATCAAAATTGCATCAACCATACTGCTCTCTGCTCTGTTACCTTTCTTGGCAGTATGTTCAGAGTCCAATAGTTTTTATATCAGTTCACTGCCATCTGAGGCCAAGGGTTTGAGTCTGATATGTAAATGAGTTATCCATTTTTCTCGAATGGCTTCAACAATTAAGACTTTTCCTTATTGCTATATATTATTGCTGTTACATAGAACTAGAATTTTATCATATAGAGTAATTCAAAGTGCAGCCTTAGTGCATTGATGTGAGGATGACAAGGTAGGAAATGGCATAGAGATAAGTTCAAAAGAAGAAGGATGCTTTTACTCCTGTTGCGAATAATGAATAAATTTTAAGAACAGGACAACACCCAATGAACAACGAATTGTAACCTGTTAAAATGACCACATCAATGGTAAAAGTAGCTTGAATTTTCAGTAGCAAAAGCGAGATCTGGGTGTCTGACAGACAGGTTAAACTTGCATGCCCGTCCATTGGGTGAAAATCTTCCAAAAGGAACCCATTTATCAGGTTTTGTTGTTTTCTGGTAAAAGTAACACTACTTCAACTTCTGCATACCAAGTCCCAACTTATCATAGGATTAAGATTAAAACAGCTAAAAACCCAGTTCTGAATTCAGTTAAAAAACAAAATTTGAATGTTTTTTGAGTTGATAACAAAATTTGCTTGGCTCAAAAACACCAGCTCCAGACCTGTCTTGGAACATGTCAACCATTTCAGCTAAATGACAATTGGTTGAAAGAGAGGGTCACGGCTTCTGTTCCTATAGATAGTAAATAGGAGTATAATTATTTATAGATACTAGCTGCTAATAAAAAAAGCTTCAACATGATATAGAATGCTTTTAGTCATAATTATACTAGAAAGATACAAAAAATTCTAAACCCTTTGAAACTGATATTCCATTCCTTATCTTTCTGTACCTCGTCCTGCCTAATCTAGTGGTTCCAAAGGAGACGGCTCATATTTATGCTACCTTTTGGCGATATAGATTCGCCAACTGGCTCCACCCCACCAGTTTTCCACTCCTTATAAGTAGAGCACTCATGGAAATCTCCAGCACAAGCCACTGTTCAACTAAAAGCATATCTTTGATCTTGTCTTCTCTTCTTACTCTTTTCCTAGTCTGTAGTAGTCTTTTTAAAACCAATCTAGAATCTATTTTAATTGAACTTTAAACTTTGTATCAAATTTTGATAATTTTGGTGTGAGTAGTTATGGCTTCAAGCTCTCTACGCTCCAGAGATTCAGGTTCATGGACCCCAAAGCAAAACAAGCTGTTCGAAAAGGCATTGGCACAGTACGATAAAGACACCCCAGACCGTTGGCACGATGTTGCAAAGGCTGTAGGTGGAAAAACTGCTGAAGAAGTGAAGAGACACTACGAAATCCTTATCGAAGATCTTAAGCATATCGAGTCCGGTCGCATTCCTATTCCAAACTATAGGTCAATTGGCGGCACCAGCAATGCTGATGAAGATGAAAGGTAATGCTAAATGAAAATTTGGCCTTCCATCTTGTTTTTATCTTGCATGTACTGTTAATTTAGGTAAAATTTGCATGACTTTGAACTGTGTTTGGTACTTGTTCAATCACTTGGAAAGTGGTACCACCCTGTGATTGCAAATTGCAAAAGTCACCGGAGCCAAGAATGTAAGTTTGAAGCCTGCAGACTGTTCACTCTATTACCTGCTTTTGTTGGCAGCAATAAATCTGATGTACAATTCTCTGTCTCTAAACTAATGTTTGAATTCAACGAAAACACACCGCATTGCGCAATAATTAAGGTCTCAGAAAAGTTAAAAGATTGTTATGATTAGTCAGTAGAAGTTTCAATCTTTATGTGGTCCATCTGATGTTTCAGTCTGTCCAAAAGCTACCTCCCTACCATACTCCACAAAACTTCCTTTGTTGAAGTTAAAGACAGAAAAAAGCAGTCACTAAAGAGAGATAAAGATCCTCTGCCGATTTGGAACCATAAAATGGATAAAGTGAGTTGTAACAAATCTTTCTTTATCGAGCAACTAATGCCATTTGCTGAATATGTGCAACCAGGTTTCTAGCATATGTATCATCAATTTGAACAATTTACATCTCTGTGTTATTATTATTAGTAATTTCTTAAGCTGAGATTGCTATTTAACTTTCTTGCTTGCTTTGCAGGCTTATAAGTTATCTTAAGCTGCAGTGAAGTCCAAAACCAGCAGCCTACGTTTACATCATATCTGAACGCCAGATTACTATGAAAAGAGGATGTGCGAATGAACATTGGATGAAAAGCTGTCCCTCCCTCAAACACTCCCCCCTAGCCTCCTTTCCCTTTTCTTTTGCAGTTCTCAGCTAATTCTTCTTCTACCATCTTCATGAATTGTAATGAAAACTATCTATTTTCAATAGCATTGTTTCTTCCTCTTTCTCCATCATTTCTAAATGCATATCACAAAAAATGAATCCATCAACTAATAGCTACAGAAAAATGTTGTACATATATATATATATATATATATATATATATATATATAAAACATAACATGGGAAACATCAGCCAATAGGAATCCCTTTTTGATTCTGTTCTTTATTCGATCTTAACTTGTTGAAAGCAGTGATAGGTAATTTGATATAGATTAATAATATAAAGCATACAAACCCAAAAACCAAAGGTTCCTTACAGATAATATCATTGTGGGTGATTTTTGCTATATGTGAAGGAGATGAATGCCGATCGATGGCATGATTATAGTTTCTGATGATTCTCTTTTGACGAAAAAGAAGCAATGGTCGCTCCATTTGAACGCCATGACCTGCTTTCTTCATGTATTCAAGAGTTGCTTTCTCTCCAATTTGCCTGTCACAATCATTTAAAAACATACCTTTTTAAACATCTAATAATTAGACTAAGATTTCTAAGATACATTAGATTTTTGAAGAGACGACACAGAATCAAAAATTTATTCAATATCAACAGATTTTTACTGATAAAATTTTTTTCATCAGTAATTTATCTACGAAACAAAATAAAAAAATGGTCGTAGTTGAAAAATTACAGTTTGATGTTGCGGGGCAGTGTCCAAGTAAAAAATCATGTCATTCTCTCCCCACAAAAGGTGTATCCTCTGCAACAATTTACACAATTTAATTACATCAAATACTTAATTAAACTTGTTGAAAATTTTAATTACGTAATTACTTTTTGGCCTCTTTTAATCTTAATTATAGCAAGATGTTGAGAGCCCTTTTGCATAATCAACATCTGCTCCAATTGTAGTTTATAAGATTTGTTTGGTTTAACAAATCTTAAAGGTTTGCCCCTTCAAGAAAAATTAAACAATTTGATAAAAAATGGAGTAGGTTTATTTGTCTTTGGAATTAGTTTATTATTTAATTAAAAAACAATGCTTTGCTGACATAACAGAAGTGACAAGCCTCCTTTCTGACAACCTGTATGTAAAGTCTATAATTGATTTGTGATTTATTTTTATAATTATTAATTTAATGAAGCTCTTCAAGTGTAGGATATATGTTATATATAAAAACTTATCTTGCACTGATAGTTACTTGTATATTAGAGATAACAAGATCATCTCAGTCAACATGCTTAAGTAAAATATACTCTATTTTATTTTATTTTTTAATTTTAAAAAAATCTAGCCTAAAACTTATTATAAATAATTAAAAATTTTTGACTCTAAATTTTAATTCAATTGATTATATAATTACTTTTAAAAAATTATATTTAATAGATTTAAGATTCAAATATCACAATGCAATCCATTTTTATTCTCATGTTACAATCTTTTTTATTGCAAAAAAATCCCAAGATTTCTTTTGATCTTAAAAATAATAAATTTAATCGAGTTTAATTAATATATTATATATATATTTGAAACAATATATAAAATTTTTATAATTTGATGTATTGACATACTATCATCAGTGAATTATAAAATTGCACTTCATAAAAAAATTACTTTTAAAGTGTTAAAAAATTACTTTCACATAGATTGTAAAATTTTCAACTAAACAACATTTGAAAGTATAAAATAAAAAAAATGAAAAAAAAATATGAAATGAGTTTTATTCAACATATATGTCATCCGTAGAAATGGTAACGGATCAGGTCGGAATGAATTTTTGTTCGTTTTGAACTTGATTCGACACAATTTTTTTATTTTTATACCTAAACTCAATCTAATATTATATAAAATCGTACACGATCTAACCTAATCCAAAATTAATAAAATATTATTTTTAAAATATAAATTTTTAATTTTTAATATAAAATAAATTTAAAATTAAAAATAATTATATATAACGAATCAATGTGGGTTTTTCTAAAACTCAACCCGACTTCATTTTACAATTACCTTGCCCAACTGAAATTTGGTTTTTAAAAAAAAAAAATTGACTTTTAAAATATCGGGTTGGATTGAAATTTGAAATCCGTCAGACATTGATTAAACTATCATCCCTAATCATCTGTATTGATATATATATATATATATATATATCAAGTAATTTTAACATGTTTTTGTCTACTAATTATCATTTTTTTCCTTAAATAATTGAAAGTTCATGTTAATGAGTTTTCAAATTTAATATATATAATTGCTTTTCAATTTCAATACAGTTGCATATAATTATAAAGGTTGACCACTGTACATATTTTACATGTTCTTGATTTATAAGAGCTGACTTTTATAACTATGAATTTGACTTATATTCAATTCATAATTTCATCAAATTTATAAAAAATTATTTCATCCAAGTTTTGCCAAAAAAATAAAAAAAGACAAATAAATAAGAACCTGCTTAGTTACATACCTGTTGGAAACAAGGGATGGTAACTTCATTGTCACTGATGACCAAAGCCTTTAGGAGTTCCACTTTCTCCTTTCTCTTGTTATTAAACATCCCCTAAAATAATTTTCAAATAAAAAACATAAAATTTTATTAAAATAATAGCTCTCTCCCCAAAATAAATGCATATTTCCAATAATTTACTTAAATATACAAATATAATAAATTAGTACTTATATTTCATATATATAATCCAACAAAATAACTGATATTTGTCCCTATCAATTACTCATTTCATCTAATAAATATAGTGTCTAATTTTTATTTTACACAGAATTTAAAAAATTTTAGGTTGAATTTTAATTTTTATTGATTATAAATAAATTTTTTCTTAAATTAACCTTACTCTGAAAAAAAAAGTTTGTAAATAAAACAAAACATTATTTTGAGATAATTAAAAGTATATAAACAATACAATATTTATGAAATAGAAAGAGTATTAATATGTATAAAACTTGTAATCCAAATTTAAAAAATTTAAGTTTAAATGATGATCTTAATAGTGCACTGACCCCTATGATCAACCTGAGGCATTCAGGATTTTAAAGTTTTCTTTGAATTTTACTAAATCAAAACTAATTATATTATATGTAATTACCTGTTTCAAAATATCCTTGTAAATGCATTTAGGGAACTTTGGAGAACTGTGAGAAGAGATTTGAAAGAAGGTTTTAACGCCCTTAACTAAGACAGGAAGCAAATTATCAGGCCAGTTGGAGAACCCAAGTCGCTGATGTCCAGCATAACCAAGCAGCTCACGACCATGGACTCAACCAAGTCAGGATACATCTCAGCCATCTTGAAACTAACCATTCCTCCATAACTCAAACCCACCAGGGTACACTTTTCCACACCCAGCTTTCTCAAACCCTTGGCCATGCACTCAGCTTGAAACCCCACCGACCTCTCTGTCTTGTCGGTGATGGAACCACCGAAGAAGACCAAATCCGGCACGTAAACAGAGTAATATTTGGCTAAAGCTAACACCTGAAATTGCCACGTTAGAATACCATCAAAGGCAAAGCCATGGATGAACACCACGGAAGGCTTTTTCAAGCTTTGTTTGCTGGTGTTTTTAGTGGTCTCAGTTGGAACCCAAATGTTTATAACCGTCCCTGGCTCGATTTCTACAGTTTGGGGGCTCAACCCAGCTCGCTTCATCAGCCTATGCAAAAAGAACCGGTATATCTTCAAGAAGCTCATATTCTTTCCCTCTTATCTCTACTTTCTGCCTCAAATTGGGAGGGAATGTCTCACAATATATAATACTTGTAGACACCAAATTTGTTTGGATGTTAATCTTGTCTCGATTGAATATTTATCGGATATCGGATTCTCGAACTAAGTTTTGATTGCAATTCAATCGGACTGAAACCCAATTTCAATTCGACTGAGCTTTAGGCTCGATTTTGATTGGGCCCAAAGTCCAATTTCATTTTTAGGCCCAAAGTCTATTTATCTTTTATTTTATTAATTTATTAATTTAAAAAAATACAAAATACAAAAAAACAAAAAAAAGGGCTGATGCAGTGGTATCTTGCACGGCACCATTGGCCACCCACCCCTCTGATCACCCATACCCTATAAACCTTATCCGCCCCATCAACACTCATGAACCATGCAAACTTTATCCATCGACACTCTTGAACCATGTAAACCTTATCCACCTCATCGGCACTCTTGAACCGCCATGCCGTAGCCCTATGCCCTGTCAATCCTAGATCTCTACATAACTAGTTTGAACTCCCAATCAAAAGGAAGGGAGAAGACCTCAAGCACTCCATCTTCTATGCCCTGCCTTCAAACACACCCGAAACCCCCAAAGCTTTGGATATCTAGAAAACCCAAAAACTTAGACTAAGAAAAACCCCTAGATCTGTGCCCAAGACCCGATTCTCAGTCTTAGTCCCAACATTCGACCTACACTCAAAAAGCCCCCCACAACATCCCATTCATGTTCAGAAACTCTATCATCTATGCCCTTCCCAGTCATAGCCTCCATATATCTTTTTTTTTTACACAAACAAAACCTAAAACAGAACCAAAAAGCCTGTTAAAAACCAAAAAAAAAAAAATACAATCCTCCCTAAAAGGGAGGAACCTAGTGCCGAGAGCTCCCTACGAACAAAAAGAAAAGAAAAGTTAGTAAAAAAAAAGTCGAAATAAAAAAAAAAAAAGGGTTTGGTCGAAACTTTAAAAATCAATTTAGGTCATTTAGGTCACTTTCAGGTGAAACCAAGTTCAGATTTGCGCTCATGGGGTATAAGGAAATTTTTTAAAAGTTTTTTAGATTTTTCAACAGTCAGCGACAGTGCCAACGATCGGCGATCGACGACCGACGATCACCGACGATGGTTAAAGCGACAGACGATGACCAATCGACTGTTCTAGAGAGAGAGGGTCTGAGAGTGTAGAGAGAGAGAGGGAGAAGAGAAAATGAGAAATTTTTTTTTTTTACTTTTATAGAAAGTTGAATG